TAAATAATAATAGGCCCTAACAATAATAATGATAATGATTTTAAAAAAGAAAAGAAAAAAAAATAATGATAATGGTAGTAATAATGATAGTAATGCTATAATTATAGTAATAATCTTAATTAAACTACAGAGGCTTTCTCCAGAAAATACTATTTAAAGTTACAAATGGACACTGGCCCTTTGAAAGTACAAGAGTCCTTTCAAATACACTCTTTGAAAAATGTAAAAAAAATATGACCATGTTGATAGCTGGTGGGTGCTCAGGTGTGGTTTGCTCCTTCTTTGCCATCAAACTTCTACCGTCCTTATCACTCCTCCTGTTTTTTCTTTATTTGCTTGTTACGTACATCTGCTGTCCTTATTCCTCCTCCTAGTTTTTGTTTCTTACTCTCTTGTAACACCTCTAATCTTTGGCACTTTAGTGATCTTATTGTGTTGCAAGTGCTGCAAAGCTCTTTGTAGATTTAAAAAAAGAACATATAGACATAAGAAGCAGACGGACAATGATCTGCCTGGGGCACTTTTTTGTGAAGCGTGCTGACAAAATGAGTTACTTCTCGCAATCCACAAATGGAAATATTGGCCTAAAGTCGACACTGTAGGGTCAAATTAGTAGATTTTCTATTGATGGCACATTCTTTTATTATTCCATACTTATGAATTGTAAAAATTTCACCTATTAGCCTGATATATCTATTTCCATAAGGCTTGGATCCGAGAAGTAACTTATTTTGTAAGCACGCTTCACATATTATGACCTAATTGTGTCGCAAGTGCCATAAATCTCTTTCCAAAACTAAAATTTTAAAAAAGTGTAATTATTTAATTTTCTTATTCTTTTCAGCGGATGGACAATGGTCGGTGTGGTATTATGCGACACAGTGCACCACTATGTGCGGTGGTGGGACTCGACAACGGGAGCGGGTGTGTGTAGGGATTGCTAATGGAGGAAAGGGGTGTGAAGGAGAGAAGGAGGAAGTAGAGGATTGCAACAAAGAGCCTTGTCCCAGTGAGTGAATGCAAGGACAAATTAATGAACATTGTTGTTGTTGATTTTTGAAGTTGTTGCTGTGTGGTTGAGATTGTTTTGGCGACTAGTTTTGTATGTGATTGTTGTGGTTTAAATTATTTACCTTTTTTAGTTAGTTATTGGTGTGATTGTTTGTTTTTGGCTGTTGCTGGTCTTCCTGATGTATTTTTAAAAAAATATAATTTTAAGGGTGAGG